TGGAAGCTTGCACTTATATATGTGAGAATAAAAATAAGTTTGCGATAGATAACAATCATTGCTATTTATAACACCAGTCATAGAAATCTCTTGCAGCCTGATTTTCATCGCACATCTCTGTATCAAAGAAATTTTTATTGTATTGGTTGTAAGCTCTATAATATTCTTGATGATCATATAAAATCAATCCCCAATGATTTGATTTATTGCCAGTGTCCAAGTATGCCCACTTACTATACCTATGTGAAGTTTTTTCCTTATACGAGGAATTGGGCAAATTTCGGATATGCGGTTGGTACAGTGTAGACTGACCTGAACAAATGTTCCTTAAGATGATTTGATCTCTTATACCTTTATGATTGATCTGAAAATAGTTCTTAAAGAATTGGAAAAAATATAACAAAAAAGTATTCAATTTATAAACCAACTTTTCAGCTGAAGATGTGGCAATCAATTGTATATTTTTAGGAGCATGTTGACCCAGATTTTGTACCTGTTCCTCCTAGACTTTATCAAATACAGTTAGGAATGGGGTATTTGGAACTTCCCCAAGTGGAAGTACCTCAAGGAAAACTAGTGAATACCCTATTAAATAGTAAAAATGTATATATACTAGACTGTTATTTGGATGTTTTTGTATGGTAAGCCTTCAACTTAAACTTCAAACAATATGTTCTATTCAACAATTCCCTGACAGGATCGGTAAAAAGTCAACAAGATTAGTCAACGCTGCTGCTGTAAAATTATCTGAAGAGTTATTCAATATGATCGATAGACCTGATTGTGCTAGGGTGTCACGTGTTCGAGAAGGAACAGAATCACAGGTTAGATATTTTCTCACGAAAATTTTCTCATTTCTGTAAGTTTCAATTTCAGATATTCAAATCCAAGTTCATTGGTTGGGATGAAGTGATAGCAGTTGATTTTACTAGAACAGCAGAATCGGTTCAGAAAACAGGAGCTGATTTAACTAAATGGGCAAAAGAACAAGAAACTAAGACAGATTTGACAGCCTTGTTCACACCAAGACAACCATCAATGTCTCTTAGTGAAGCTCAACAACTCATGGAAGAGTGGAACGAGGATTTAGAAGCCATGGAAGCTTTGGTATTGGAAGGAAAGAAGTTTGTTAGGTTACCTGAAGAAGAATTAGGCATGTACATCTCTTGCACATACTTTTTAAAATGTATACAATTTACTTGTCTCATTGTCATCAATGGTTGTATTTTTGTTGGTAAAGACACACCAGAACTCTTCTTGAGGCGCGATTTACTTACCAAGTTGGCATCAGAGGATGGACTATCTAAGTTGGAATTAGGAATTTAAGTCGCCTTCTTTATGTAGTGGAATGACTATTACCATTTTTTAACTCTAAGAAAACCATCCTGTTTCCAAACTTATATTTATTGCTTCTGCTAGAACATATGTGGCTTGACCTGTTAGGTTTTATAAAATGCTAAAGGGGATGTCATCAACCCCAACTCATTTCTTATTTCTTGAAAAATTTGCCTTGAATCTGACGAGTCTGTATTTTCTATAATGAAATTCTTAAGAATATAACATTTTTTTAGGCATGTCTACACAGACACGTCTGAAGAAGCTATTGTATAGCGAAACGTGTATTGCGTTTTTGTAAAACTGTTCAGTGAAAATCTCACAATGGAGTTTTTCTTGAATTTGTAAATCTTGGTGAATTCGGAAATTTCACAAAAAGTTGTCGAAATATCTTTCCAGTGTATTGATATTTCTTGCTGAAGAATTTATTCCACATAAAATCGAATTGATTCTTTAGAGTCGCTGTCTTTAAACTATGATATAATGTCAAACTGATATATTTTACCAGTATTGCTTCATAATGAATAATTTCTATTAAGTTTCAAACGTATCTTAGGTAAATGGTTAGGTTTATAATAATAGTTTTCACCAAAAAAAAATACAATTTTTATTTAACCATGTGGAAATACCAGTACAAATACTATTTTGAATATTTTTCCTAATGTGTATTTCCAAAAAAAAAATTGATGGAATAAGAACTTCTGTCTTTGTTTTTGAGATCATATAAATTCTGATTTTGATGAAACCAGGCAAAAAACGCATTAGGAGTATATCTATGTATCACGTGGTGGTAATTTCAAATTTTATGTATTTCAGGTATTTTTCATTCAAAGGACTGTTATGTTTTCCTTTGTCGATATTGGGTTCCACAAGATGATGCAAGCAGTACTCCTGAAGACGAAATGGATGATCTTCAATGGGTGTGTTATTTTTGGCAGGGCCGAGATGCATCCAACATGGGTTGGCTGACTTTCACTTTTACACTACAAAAAAAATTTAAGGCACTTTTCCAAGACAAATTAGAGGTTGTGAGAACTTATCAGCAACAAGAAAATATGAAATTCATGGCACATTTCAAGAGGAAATTTGTCATAAAACAGGGAAAACGAAATAAAAAAGCAGATAAAAATGCAGTAGAATTTTATCATTTGAGGTCAAATGGGAGTGCATTATATACAAGACTTGTTCAGATAAAACCGGATGCCACGTTTTTGAATTCTGCTTTCTGGTACTTTTGCAAGCTTCTGATGGAAAATAAGTTTTTAATGCTTTATGTTTTAGCTATATACTCAACGTTCCTTTTGAACAAGAAGATGATTCTGGAATTGTTTATGTTTGGATTGGTTCAAAGTCTGATCCAGAAGAGGCTAGAATTATTCAAGAAATAGCGGAAGAACTTTTCAACAGTCCTTGGGTAACTCTGCAAGTTTTATCAGAAGGCGAAGAACCGGATAACTTTTTCTGGTTGGGTTTGGGTGGCAAAAAGCCTTACGACAATGATGCCACTTACATGGAATATACCAGACTTTTCAGATGTTCAAATGAAAAAGGATATTTCATTGTTTCAGAGAAGTGTTCAGATTTTTGTCAGGTAATATAACTGATAATTATAAAGATGTGATTGTACTCATTCAAATAGTTTTTCTTTTGCAGGATGATTTAGCTGATGATGATATCATGATTCTGGATAATGGAGATCAGGTATTTTTATGGCTGGGTGCCAACTGTAGTGAAGTTGAAATCAAATTAGCCTATAAATCAGCTCAGGTATATTGAATAGTTCTTGAGAAAAATGGATTATAATTTTCTGATTTTTGTTTATAAGGTGTACATTCAACATATGAGAGCTAAACAACCAGACAGGCCTCGAAAACTGTTTTTAACTTTGAAAAACAAGGAATCAAGAAGATTTACGAAATGTTTTCATGGTTGGGGAGAACATAAAAAGCCACCTGAATGAGGTCCAACAAAATTTCAATGAAAATGTTATTTATTTAAAGAGGAATTTGAACTAGGTTTGCCAATAATGCAGATTCATGCCGAGTTCAAAGTTTTTTTACAGTATTTATACCTCCTAGTTCATTTTCTTTTTGTACTTAGGTTTTATAAAAATAAAATATTGGAAAGTTCTAAAGAATTATTTTTCTTAGTCTTTGAAAAAAAATACATAATTAGAAAAAGAGGAAAAAGTTCTGTATGGAGTTTATTCATTAGGCAAATACCTCAAAATAAAAATAGCATACAACGTTAGTTTTTGTGTGCAACAAACTAAGTCCTGCAAGAATCATGTCGACTGATCTCACAGAGAACTCCTAATGTCGTTTTCTGAAGAACAAACATAGACTGATAACGGATTTTGGCACAGACACCTCAGAGAAGGATACCATATCTCAGATGAGATTCTACACAGTTTTAGCAGCAATCATTCCTAGTTTGTTAGATGAGAGTTTTTTGTTGAGATCTAGTATGTGATCCTCAACTCATCGATTAATATCCCAAGTAATTTGTTGCTCTCAATTACATTAACATTTGAAGTGAAGAGAATGTTATGAATGATACAATCGAAAGATGAAATTTTGGTCTTTGATATATTAAATTAAATGCAAATCTATTATTTGCTTTTCACCGGTCTGTGATTTTGATGATATCTGAACAGATGGTTTAGTTGTATCACTTTAATGACAAAATGTAGTAGTAGCATCAGTGTACAAAGTAAATTTATCCTCTATGTCAATAAGTATCAAGTCGTTTTCATATGGGAGAAATAGGGTGGGGCCAAGTATGGAGCACATCTCAAAATTATGTGCATTGTCTACATTGTACCTACTTTATTTATCTGTAGGTCAACTTTGTTTCGTCAAGTAAATCCCATATTTGTTATTTTCATTTAATACATAAAATGCCAATGGATACAAACCCAGTGACATCCACGAAATAGTACATACAGATTCCAGCATACCTTTACAAATCAACAGTAGTTATAATTCTTATACTACAAGAATGATAAAAAATTCACAACTTCACAGCATACAATTAAGTTACCTTCAGTGTACACTTTAAATCACACTCATCACGTTCCATAGTACAATTACATAACGGTAGGCACTAGATTCTCAGACAGGTTAAGGCAAAACGTCAGTCATTTCTAAGAACTTAGTGCCTACTATTTTGGAATTATAGTATAGTTAAATGCATATTGAATATTTAAAATTATAAGAAGTAATAATTTTCTTGATTGAAAAATTCCTGGTGTTACTTTTGTCAAATGAGATTTCAAAGATGGATTGTTTCTTGAAAATCGAGTAGGTACATATATATTTGATAACCTAAGCAAATCCGTGAAACCGTTCAGTAATTTATACAAGAAAATAACATCAGACTGGCTCTCTACACATTTCAAAATATCTTGAAGTTTCCATATTTGCCATATGATGCTATATGCTTTTTTTGAGGTCTAAAAATCTTAAAAACGGCTTTAAATCACTTATTCTTTATATGATTCATATTGTGGACACAATTGACGCATATGTCACTCTGCTGTAGAAGGCAAAGTATGTTTTGCGAGCTTTGATAGAAGTTCATAGATGTTCTTAAGACAAAACCCAACGTATGGTTACTACAGATTCAATGTGGCGAGCAAAAATAATTTTTCTATCAAATACAATCCCAGGATCTTAGTTATTATCACATTTTTGAAAACTAATACAGTCAAATGTATAGTCACAAGTGAAGGTACTGACATTACAAGTCAAGGATATATAAAAACATTTTTCCAAATTGAGAAATATTTTGTTTTGTCTACAATACTCATTATAACCACTTGAATATATATGCAGTTCCTGAAATAATTTACTCGGAACAATATTTTAAGTTAAAAAATTGCAAAATTTGAAACATTAACCATTATTATTCAAAAATATAATAAAAATAAGAAGTCCCGTGTAGGAACATTCAGGTACTCTTTAAATTACTAGATAAAGTTAAGATTTATAACTATTGACAGCAACTATTTGGGATCTATTGTGAAGGTATAAGCATTGTATAAGCATTACCCAAAAAGTAGATCACCGTGTGTACCGATGCCAGACAATTTTGCGATATAACTATCATGTGGACAGATAGTTTGTGTAGTTTACTGAATATGTTCAATTTCATATCAGTCTAATATTTTTTTACTGTATGTATTATGGAGGAGTATGTATTGTATTATTCCAATCATTTTGGAAAACTTTAAACCACACTAAACAGCCAGACATATTTGAGATGCAAATAATGATGTTTGGAGCTACCTGTTCTCTTTTTATTCCCACTGTTATGTTACAATTGCATGTTTTTTGTGATTCAAGTGAAAATGCATTTTCTTCGGTAGCATACCTGAGGATTGCATCATTAGACAAAATTGATGTTGCATTTATGATGGCAAAAATCAGGGTCGCACCACCAGTGACTAAAGTCACTCTCCATCTCAAAGTTGGAACTGTTGGCTGTTGGCATATAAAAATCTGTTTTTCCGTTAATCAGATGTTGCACCCCTACGAACGACAACCCTTAGAAGTCGAAACTTGTGCGAGCTAAGGATTAATGAGGTCTTACCTTTTAACGTGTGATTCCTAACACGTTAATAGGTGGATGAAACGCTAAAATCATAGCAAGACAGTGGCATCAACTTTAGTTTCATTCTACCTGGAGCTCCTCATATGGAGGAAGCCTGGGAAAGATTGGTGGAAAGTGTGAAAAAATCTTTGGGAGTCATCGTCTATGGACAATCACTGGAGATCCTGACTACTACAAATCATTTTCTTCAAGAGTGTGCATACACAGAAGATTTACCAGGAGATTTCGAATCAGGAGAATATTTGCGAACAGAGTGAAAAAAGTCACAAATGCATTTTGAAAAAGATGACTTGAAGAATATTTGCCTATATGTTGAACTTAAAATGGACAGGTGATCAAGAACCTATCAAATGTGGGAATTTTGTAATAATTGTAGATGAAACATCACTGAGAAATACATGGAAGATGGGAAGACTCAAAAGAGATATTTGGGCACAGGACATTTATAGGTGTCCAAGCTGTATAAACTTTCAATGTAACCCGAGGTGAAAGGATGAAAATGAAGAAATGCGTTGAAGAAAGGAATTCTTCAATGGTGGGAAAATGTGTCTTATAGTTTAAGTATCTTAAAATTCCTTTGTATATAAGTTTAATTGGTTTGTCATATATTTTTTAGTCAGTTGTTACCAAGGTATTTTTTATATTATAATATAGCTATAATAATATATGACAATTGATAATTGTCATCGATTCGAAATAGAAAAATTCATTGAATAAAAAACGTGCCTAATTAGGGTTTGTAAAAGCCTCCATAAGTGACAGTATGAATATAAAATAACTTTGACCCATGCTAAGAATTGCACATTTATTTTTACTTTGCGGATTTTGACTTCAGAGGGTTATTGTTCTTTTGACAGCTGATTACTGGGAAAATAACTTTTTTAACTCTGCCCTTAGATAGGCTCATGGCTGGGTTGTACTTTGAATTATTTGAGAGCTGTATGTATAATATTTCCTTTTATTGTTTGATAGGGCTTTTTTAACATAAGATTATAATACTATATGGACTATAAAAAAAATTGAGAAATGAAATTTATAACTCACTTTATATTTAGGCTTATAACTTTCTCAATGTATATGTTCTTCTTTTCCACTCAAAAATGATATTAACACTGAATAAAAACGCCCCAAAAATATTGCATATTAAATTTTCAAAAATTTCAATATGAACTGTGTTAAAAGTGCTTTAAATGATAACAGTCCACACAACTTGTCTAAGTCCATATGTAGACAAAAATTTGCGAATATTCTAAAAAATTGATTTAAAGATTGCATAGTTTATATGGGGTTAGACTGGAATATCCATAACGTAAAGTTAAACTCAAACAAGATTTTATTCAATAAAAGCCACTAAAGAAAAATAAATAGAAATTATATACATATAAAGCACAAAATAATTTAGGAAGATCACATTCTTTCACTTAGATATTTTTTATTTTAGTCATCATCGTCATCATCATCTGAAGGTACAAACAAGTCGTTTTCCTCCAAGAAATTGGCAATATTTTTACTTATTGTCGCTCCAATGAGTAACCCAGGAACCACAGTTAAAATCAATTTTAAGATTCCAAAGGATGTTCGATGGGGCTCTTGCAGTATAGTTCCACGTTTAGTAGTTGTTTTATTTCTTATCATATTCTGATTAACGGTGGTTTTCATATTTTTTATTCTGTATATAAATCTAAGACTGTACATTTTAGAAATATACCATTTACTTTACAACTCCCTAAAAATAGGTCAGTGTAACAGAATATTGCTAGTACTCTGTGTCAGTGTCTTCTTCTTTTCAATTCAATGGCCTCAACAAGAGAACTGACAAAAGTCATTTTGAAATGTTAAATGAGCCTTTTTCCTGAGAATAGTACAGAGTACAGCGAACGTGTCACGAGAGGCAGCACTAGTAGTAGGGACAAACATAAACTATTCACATGTAAAACAGTGTTATTTACGTAATATTAATTTATTATTCAAAAATATAAATCTGATGGAGAAAATTATTTTGTGCTAGTATAATGCCAACAAAGCATTTTTGTTTTGCGAATTGTACGTCGGATAATCGATATCAGATTTATAAAACCTCATATTAATGAGGTTAGATGTAAGAAATGGATACATGCTTCGAGGAGAGTGGATTAAACAGTGCAATAAATATTCATGTGTATGCTCTAAACATGAAATGAATAGTAAATTTTTCATAGTTGATTACCATTGATTAGAATAAGATATAACCTCAATCGTTCATTAAATCATGTTCATTTATTATATTTCATTGAATTTATTTCATTACCATCTATATTTGATTCATATTTCACTGGGAAATAAATCTGAAATTCATATTTTTTTAAATTTCTTTCACTACAGTTTGAATCTACCGCTACTCTTTTACTAGAGTCTGTATACTAACCTGTCTATTATCTTTTATTTTCAGTTACTTTTAAATTACGGCATGCAACCCAACGTTTTAATGTTACAACATTGTTATCCTTCACATTTACAAATTTAAGTTTTGCTCCAGGAACATTTTCTTTTGTTAAAAACATTCTTTTTTAATTATACTTTACCATATGTTTATGTTTATGAGGATTAGGCAGTGTTTGTCCCTACCGAACTACTTGCGCAAAAGGTTCATTCCAGAGCTGACGCCAAAATATGTGACAAAAAAATAAAGCAGACGTGAGAAATGAGAATATGAGTGTCAAAAAGATACTCCCTTGAAAAATATGGTATGATTGATTTTATTATTGAAAAATTTTGTAAAATTTTTGATATAAAATATTTCTCTTTGTTATCCATTAGTTTTGCAGCTGTACCTGGCGGTAATGATGTCTTCGGATATTAGTATGCAAGAAAAGGGTTACTGAAAAACTTTCTTGTGCGAAGTAAAATTTTCGCAGACTTATAGAAAAAAAATATACATTCGAAAATAAAATTTGAGGTGATTCGAAAAGATATTTTGAATTATAATAATGAAACGAGAATTTGTACCAAAGAAAAGGAAATGTTTCATGAACAAAACGTGCTATTTTACAGTTTCAGGGATGCAACTATGTGGTTCTGTAGTTCTGTTCCGTGTTGGTTTTGTGTTCTGAAGTTGGTAATCTGTATGTGTGTGATTTAGAATTTAGGAATTTCGCATTTGGCATTCCGTCGGCAGCCGCGTGCGGTTGATAAATGTCAGGAAATGTTTGAAATGGAGTATTTCGAAAATAAACCTTTATAATGTGCTACGGTAATTTCTGCCAGTGCAATCTGTTTTAATTTTGGTTCCTTTGTATTAATCTTGTGTTCATTCATCATTCGCTTAAGGAAAAAGTCTAAAACAATTAAAATGGAAAAAAATAATGATGACCATATAGTCTACAAAGTGGTACTCACTGGAGGTGAGTGTTTACATTGTGTTCCTATGTATTTAATCCTACAGTTGACTCTTTTCAGGACCCTGCGGTGGAAAGACTACCGGTCAAACAAGATTGTGCACATTTTTTGAGAATTTGGGGTGGAAAGTAAGTCTCTAAAGGAATAGTCTTTACATAGCTCTTGAAATTATCATTAACACTGGATTGGTGATTCTTCTACAATGATTTCTTTCTAAATCATTTTTGCAAACACCTCAAAGAGGTTCTTATATATAGCACTAAGTCCTATAAAAGATAATTATAATCTAAATAAACTTGCAATTGCCTAAAATTGATAATTCAATTATCAGCTAGAATGTACAATTTGGCTCTCCAAAACAATTTATTTATGTAAAAAAACTTCAACTACATCTAAACTTTACCTGAGCAAATGACACTCAATTGTTTTTTTGCTTTATGGAAAAGAGAGTTCAGATGTATTCTCAAGTTATCATTTGAAATGAAAATACAAGTCATTGAATTACAGTGTCTGTTATGATATAAAAGGTAAATAAAATATCTAGTTGGTGTCTCCTATCAATTAACCTTTGTATGTTTGAAAGACTAGTATTTGATATCTAGTATTTTCACAAACATTTTTATTCCTCTATTGAGGAGGCTATGGTGTTAGCAAAACGCCTCTAGAAATAAAAACTTTTGTGAAAATTGTGTAAATTTGAAGTAATTGTTCGTTTCAATGTAGTCTGAGACATAGTGAAGACTTTGAATATCCCTTAAATATTTTTTAAAGTAATACATTCCCATTTAACTTAAGTTCATACAATTTTTTCAACAGAGTTCTTGTTGCAGGTGTTTCGTGTACCAGAAGCTGCTTCGGTTCTTCTTGGGTATGTATTCATTTGTACGAGTAGTTATAAAAAAATTTTGTTCATAATAATTTTTGGCAAAAAAACTTCAATATTCGCCTGCTCAGATTGTCTCCATGCAACTCAGTTAAATAAATATAAGTATTCATCAAAATAACTATCATCCGTTCATAAATGAAAGAACAATTATATGTCAGAACATTAAAATAACAATATGTAAATGAGAAAACAACATGATGTCATATAAAATGAATATACATATCTGAAGAGTAAAACATTTTCTTCCAAGTATTTATGAAAAGTATTCCTGAAGCACTTCAATAACATTGAAGCTTCTTGTTTCTTCATATTTACAGAGATTTGTATTGTGTAAAGAAGACAGTTTTACTGGAAAAATAACTGGTTTACATGAAGTCCTCGGATGAGTTCCTGTGGTAGGAGTTTGTTTTTTTGCCTAACAATTATTTTATGAAAATAACCTGAATATTCTAAAAATATCATGCCATATGTTGATAAGGACTGAACAAATCCATTCAGTCCAATTTCAATACTTCCAAAGTACTGTTCTCTGTAGCTGTATAATCTGAAGCATACAATTCTTTGTATATGCACAAGAACAACAATGTATTTCCACGTGTCATCTTATTGTCTGTAGTAATGCCAAGAAATTTATTAGAATTTACTTGTTCAATGCTTTTGTTGAAGATTTTGATCAAATAACTGATATCATTGTTCGTATTCTGCTTTATAAAAAAGTTTCTGATGCGTTTTAACAATAGTCTATTATAAAGACACCATATCTATCTATCAAGTATGAAGCAATTCAATTGTTTGCCACACCTTCGACTCCAATTCAACAGAATTTGTCTAGTAAGAGTTTTATCAATCCCAGCAAATCTTACTTTAATGGCACTGTATAACCGATTCCATGTTTGCTGACAATGAACTTTTTGCTGGCATGCTTTTAATGGCTATTATATCCATCATGGTATCAGCTGGTAAAGTAGTTTTCCAGCATTCAATCACTATAATAGGCTTATTCTCTAAACTCGTAGAAATTATCCTGAAAAATGAAACAGGGAAATATTTTGAAGAAAACTGTGTTCTTTGGATTTTGTAAGGGTAAATCTGCATCACTAGCTGTAATGAATGTTGTGAGAGAGATAGTGGAAGATTTTAAGTAAGCAAGCACACTGCTGTTACACTGTGCGACCTCAGCAAGACCTTTGATTGTGTCTATCACATTCTTTTTGAAAAACCATTATTGGTGAATCATCAAGTAAAACTATTTTTCTTTGTTTCATTCTAAAATAAACTCTGGAGGGGAAACTCTGTTTACTTTATAAGCATTTTAGGCAGCTGAAGAAAGCTTTTAAAATGTTGATTGATACATCTTCTAGAGAACATTGCAAAACTCTATTAATGTTCCTGCCAACGTTCATTTTTGGATTTAAAAAATCCACATATCTGAAAAATTAGGTATTTTAATTCAAAAATTGCAGGCAAGCCTGCTATTTTTAGTTTTCAGAAATAGAATGAATATAAAATTAATAATTTTCAAATGGGACTTATTTTATAAAAATGAATAAATAACATCACACAAATAGGTTCTCAAATAGCTAAATGAATATATTTTTTATGGAACAAAACGAAAATATCACATAAATAATAGTGAAAAATGTAAATTAACATTTTTATAGATAATATAACAAAAAAACATGTGAAATTAGACTAAAATTAATTTCGAAAATGGATGTACTTGTAATGATGAAATCATGTTTGAAAGTTTTTTCCTTCTTCTCTGTTTCTGGCATATATGTTAATACAGTGTTTTCAATTATATATCTGAGTTGCATCCTGGGGTGCACTTTCTTTCGAACACCAGCTCAAATAAAATATCACAATCAAATAATATGATATTTAATTTAGGTAGGACGGTAGCCGGTCGGGTTGACGTGGGTGCTTTGCTCCACTCACTCTATTGACCGCTGTGTGAATCAGTGGTTCGAGCCGCGAGGCCGGACGATTGATTTTCACCTGCTATCGTCCAACCCGTGTTAGGAATCACACGTTAAAAGGTATGACCTCGTTATCCCTTAGCTCGCACATGTTTCAACTTTTAAGAGTCGTCGTTCCTAGGGGGCGACAGCTGGTTAACGGAAAAACATAAATTTTTTTTTAAAGAATTGCAACTGATAATGATAGGTACTCCTCATATATGATAGAACAACAATTAGAAGGTCGTACAAAAGCCTAGTGTTTTTCTACATTTTGAAAAATAGTAATTTTTTGTCAGTTATTCAATTGAAGTTTTTTTCTTGCCCTGAAGACGCCACTTGGAAGCTTATAAAACCGAAAAAAAAAATTCACTTTACACGTGAAACATGGAGCTAAGTAAGTTTACAAATTAAAACACATTCATTCTATTTCCAATTAAAGCAAATACACAGACTTAGGAAAATACACAGACGTGTTAGGAATCACACGTTAAAAGGTAAGACCTCGTTAGTCCTTAGCTCGCACAAGTTTCTCAACGTCTGAGAGTTGTCGTTCGTATGGGGGCGACAGCTGATTAACGGAAAAACAGATTTTAAACAGACACAGACTTCTTCAGACTTACTACTACGCACATCCCAATCGAATAATTTTTGGGTAAGATGAACCTATTAAAAACGTGTTCATTTCACTATTTCCAATTAAATACAATACTTCTCAGATTCTTACAATTTGCCTCAATTAAATTTTGGACTTTTGTTTAAACTCTAAAGTAGAACTGTAAAGACACTATTCGTAAGGCTCGCTTGAACAACCAAGTTGCAACAGATGATCTTACAATCACCAGCTAAATAGCAGAATCCTGAATATCTGTTTAAAAATCTGTTTAAAATCTGTTTTTCCGTTAATCAGCTGTCCGTTAATCAGAGTTGTCGTTCGTGTTGTCACACGAACGATAACTCTGAGAAGTTGAGAAACTTGTGCGAGCTAAGAACTAACGAGGTCTTACCTTTTAACGTGTTATTTCTAATATAAACAATAACTTAAAAATTCCTGATTTTTTAAATATAATTTGTATGGATTGCCGTAATATATACAGTGAACCCGAATATAGATTTAGAGAAAGAGAGGTGGAAAATTATGAAAGATACATAGAAAATCTACTTTTGTCTACATTATATTTTACTCTTTGAATTTTGCTAACTTGGTCAATATCTGTTTTTTTATCTGAGAACATGAAATTTCGAACACCACTGATTTATGCCTCCAAAGAAAAGGATCTCTATAGATTCTCAAGAATGGTGAAAGAGTACATGCATGCATGAACTCGCACCAGTATTTTGTAGACTCTTCAACCTGTCTTATAAGGAAGGGGTCTTTCCTCCTTGTTGGAAGATTGCTTGCGTTCAGCCTATTCCCAAAAAGGGCAAGAAAAATCTTCCAAATAAGTATAAACCAGTCACTTTGCTGTCAGTGATTTCAAAAATCATGGAGAAAGCCGTAAACCACCATATCCTTGAATATTTGGAAGGCTTTGACATCTTGGGCGATCATCAATATGGCTTTTTGGAACAAAGATCAACAGGCGACCTTCTGTCTTATGTCACCCATATTTGGCATAACGCTGTTGCGCTTGACATTTGCAAGGCCTTTGACCATATGTGGCATAAGGGTAGCTGGCCAAATTTCGATGCTATGGCTTGTCGGATCATTTTTGTGCATGTCTCTCCAGCTTCCTGAAAGAATGTTTCCTGCAAGTGGCAGTCAATGAATATATTTCGAATACTTTTACCATCAACGCTGGTGTTCCCCAGGGATCCATATTGCCTCCCACCCTCTTTTTATTGTACATCAACGACTTATTGTAAAAAAAAACAAGAATCCAATATATTGCTTTGCTGACGACAGCACACTTGTTTCGTCATTCCATTTGGATTCCAGAACATCGGCTGCGGATGCAAATCTTCACCGGCAGCAAGATGTTGCATATCTTAATGAGGATCTAGAAGTGATTTCGAATTGGGGTGAGAGTAACCAGGTTCAATTCAATGCCACAAAAACCCAGGCATCGGTTTTCTCCAAAAAGATAAATGTCTTCGAACTGGATATAACAATGTGAGGACAGACAATTCCGCTTTCTGCTTCGATGGGCTTGTTGGGAGTTGAAATGGCACAATGATGTCGCTGGAATTGCGAAGGCTGCTTCTCAAAAGCTTGGAACACTGTTCCGAACCAGAAAACTGTACACATTTTAGCAACTTTGGATGCTTTATAAAGCTCAAATCAGACCTTCTTTGGAGTATTGTCCTCATGTATGGAGCTCCGCCCCTAAGCATACCCTGAAGCTGCTGGATTCTATCCAGAAAATAGCCATTCGCCCGATTTGAGACGCGAACATTACTTGCTACCTTAATAGTCTGGAACTTCGAAGAAAGGTTAGAAATGTGTTCCATAGATAGTCTCACGGGAAGTATTCGAGTGACTTGGCACATTTGAATCCACCAAGAGCAATACATATCAGAAATACCACTCACAAGAAGTCACCTCACTGAAGAACTCTTTGCTGCTAGTATCAGCACAACCTCCAGATCCCGTCATCAGAACTGTCTGGGAAAAACAAAGTTACTACTACAAATATCCTTGTCATTCCAAACGTACTCTACTTCTTTGGAGTAGTGACTTGACACGGGAGGAGTTGTATCTGCTCAACGTTAAACGATTCATCTCAAACTCCCCGTTCCAAGTTTATAATTCTCCCTGACAATAGGGAGTGTCTGAATAATAAAATGGAGCCTGTGAAGTGGGTGAAGTCGGATACTGTGAGGTTTATCATGGCTTGACAGTAAGTTGTTTTCAACTTGTTAGACTAATGCATCTGCGTGATATGGTATGGAAGATGTTCCTGACACCAAGTGAAGGCCCTGAGCCTTACACATTTGCTGTCGGTATGTTCAGCATATACGGTCGTAGCCTATATCCATCGACATTTGCTTCATTACCACCTTTGGCACTCTTACGGTATTGACCAGA